AAAAGAATGGGGGGTAACCAGCTGCCATCTCGTAGATGAGGACGCCGAGGGCCCACCAGTCCACAGCCTTGTTATAACCCTGCCCAGGGAAAGCAGGCCAGGGTCACGCACCGAACGTTTGGGGGGCGGGAGGAACCACCTGGTGACCAGGGATCAGCTAGAGATCAGGAAGCAGACAGGCCCTCCCCAGCTCACCTTTCTGAGGATGATCTCAGGGGCAAGGTATTCCGGGGTCCCACACAGAGTCCAGGTTCGGCCTTTCACCCGCTTGGCAAAACCAAAATCCGTCACCTGGAGCCAAAACACACAGAGGGGAGAAGCTGGATCAGCCTGGAGGCTGTGACAGCAGGAGGGGAAGGGGAGGGAGCAGATGATTGATGTATTCTGGCCGTGTTATATTTCTGGGGGTGTCTTGGCTTTGGGAAGGGGATGGCAGCAGAGAGAGACTTGGGCAGGGAGGAGTTCACTGCAGGAGCTAGGAGCCAGCGCTGGGATGGGGAAGGGAATTTGGGGCGGGGGGTGGGGGGGCAGCCTCACCTCGACATAGCCCTGCTGGTCTATCAGGAGATTCTCTGGCTTCAGGTCTCGGTAGATGACATCCAGCGAGTGCAGATACTCAAAGGTCAGGACGATCTGAGCAGCGTAGAACCGGGCGTGAGGTTCACTGCAATGAGGTGGGAGAAGAACGTGGGCATCCCGGGCCAGATCCGCCCCCTCTCAGCCAGCCCAGCACCATCGGCCCCCTGCCACCCCCACCTTCACCTTCCTTATAGATCCCTGACTCCATCTACCCTGGCAACCCCAGGCAAGATGCCCCAACGCTTATAGGTTTCGTGGCCCCATCCAGTGGCGTAGACAGGTGGAGGGAACAGAGGGAGCAAAAAAAAAACCACTGCGGTGCTTTTACTCACCCGGCGGCTCTCCAGGTCTTTGGCGGCAGGCCCGTCACTCGCTCCGGCTGTTTTCGGCGGCACTGAAGGTCCCACAGCCGAAGACCCAGAGTGCCGCCGAGTGCGTAAAATAAAAGCGCCGCAGCGGGTGGCACCTTTTTTTTTTATCACTCCCCCGGGTGAGTACAAAGGCGCCAGGAAATTGACAAGGCGCCACTTGTGCTCAGTGCGGGAGCAGCCGCTGCCCCCGCTCCACCCCTAGCTACGCTACTGGTCCCATCTGCCCTAGCCAGACCACTAGCCCTAGCACACACATCCCACCCATCATTGCTAGACCCCTGACTCCATCCAGCCTGGCAACCCAGGGCAAG